TATTTTCTAAAACATCCATATATATATGAATATTATAAAAAAAGTTATATAATATATTCATAAAATATATTATTTTATACAAAATATAACACATACTACTATTGAAAGAAACTTTCATTCATTTATTACTAAATAAAATTTACAATCTTATTAACAAATTATTTTTCAAAGCAACACATATCTTAACGCGTGTCGAACATTTAAACTCGTATCAAATTTTTCTTTCTTTTTTTTTTTTTTTGTTCTTTTTACATCTAACAACAAGTTTACAAATTTTCAAGGATCAATTTCTAAATGGTGTATATCGAGTTCTTAACTCTTTTGAAAAATAAAATTATAGGTAAATAATTGGGAGCATCTGTGGTTAAATTTACTTTTGAGTGTAAAGTGACGTACGTTTTCGAGTGTCGATCGTTAAGGGATTAACGCAAACCACCGTGGGGTTGGTAAGAGGGTGGGAAGGGTAGGGGGAGGGGCTTCGGCAGGGAATGGATTTCGTTAACGATCGTAAATCGAAACCGGTAAGTCGGTTTGGTTTGCTTCGGAGAGTCCAAGTGTAAATGAATTTATTCGAGCTCGTATTTCGTTCTATTTCGATGTATATCTATCTCACTAAATGTCTGTTGCGTGTGTTTATATGTATAAACATATATATATATATACACCATAGATACACGGATATGCGTGGGGTTGTATGTAGAGTGTATACATAAGGGAAAGTGGGTCAAGTTGATACAAGGGTAATTAGATATAATATATTGAAGTTATCAGGTTAGTATACATACAATTATGCACATAGTTTCGATCATTGATTAATATTATGTGAATTTATTTTTTTTTTTTTTAATATACACAAATCATAATGTTTTTCTTGTTAAATGTTTCTCCTTTTTTTTTTCTTTTTTTTTTTTTAAATTTTATATTTAGGTTTAATTATAACCAATACGAATTGAGAGATATATTTGATTTAATCTAATAAATATTATATCATTATAATATAATTGTTAATATGTATATGTTTAATTATAAACGTTACATATAATAATATAATTTGATCGCGGTGATTAATATCTTTGTTATTAAATAGTATGATCTCGTGAAATAAATAATAATAATGAGAATGATATTTTTAAATCATGATTATAATAATAAATGATTCAAAATGAATAGATATATTGATGATAATAATAAAAAAGAAAAATGTTTTCACACGCGCGTAATCTACCTGTTATTATTTAAATATAATAACAAAATACATAAAAGAAAAAAAAATAGAAGATTGTTTATTAAATTGAAATATCGATTCCCGATCGACGATTTTTATGGCGGTTCAATGCATCATGATATAAAAAAAAAACAACATAAATGCAAGAAACAATGTATAGGTGTAATAAGTTTTTACATATGTGTGTGTCATATGTAGCTATAGTAAATGTATGTATGTACAATTTTTATGATAAACACAGAACCAATAGTTAGGAAAGTATAGGAAATAGAAAAATAAAAAGAAAGTGAGAGAGAGAGAGAGAGATAGAGAGATTTATATATACATATATGTATATATATATATATATTTTTTTGTTGGGTTCTTTTAAAAAATATATCATAAGAAACATAGAAAGTATCGTATTCGAGAACACCATAAAACTTTCGAGTATATCTGCCTCTCTCGTTTCCTTGCTTTTTTTTTTTCTTTTTTTTTCTTTTTCCAACCGCATCTTTATCTTTGTAAATATATATTTGTTATATATATATATATATACTTCCGTATATCCTATATGTACATACATACTTATATATACTTTTTCTCGTATTGGAGAAAAGAAAAATAAAAAAATAGAATTTAGAATTAATTCTTTTCAAAAAGAAAAAAAAAGAGAAGTA